CAGCCAGCTCAATGAGAAGAACAAGATCCATGCCATCAACACGTATGCCCTGCCAGTCATCAGATACCCTGCCGATATAGTTAGCTGGTCAAAGTAGGATATGAAGCCCACCAATGTGAAGACCCAGAAGCCTCTCACAATGTACGGAGGTTTCCACTCCAAGTCCAACACCCAGAGACTGTACAAAAGCCAGAAAGAGGGTGAATGGGGTCTGGTGGTGTCAAAGCCACTGTCCTGGATGAAACCCAGAGCATTCAGGAGTACATCAGTAATATAGCACCCAAAGATGACCTGCTGAGAGAATACCTGAGGCAGCAGCAGACATGGGAGAAAGTTCAAGCAGAGGAAGGGCATGGCAAGAAAAGACCCTGATCTCTTTGAATGGGGGCAGAGGCAGTCTTGTGGGGGAATACGTATATTAAAGAAATTTTAAAAATATGATAGCAAAAAACCAGGGGTGAGTACAGTCTAACTTACATACAGTGTAACCATTTAACAGGCCCCATACTTCCTTGGGATCCCCAAGCCTGATGGCACATCCCAAGTTTTGAGGGCCTTCCAGAAGGCCAGCAAGATATAAATGAGCCACTGAGATGGACATTTTGCTAAGCCATAAAATGCAGTAGATTTGGGGGTAAAGAAGAGTTGGAATTGTTTTGAGAACAATGGGAAAAATTGCAGTGTTCATATATTGTCATTAGCCCCCTTTTCTTAAGCCTGTTAAGTCAGACCTCAGGAACCTTTGGGAAGAGTTTTCTGTAAAATCACTTGTCACAATAGCAGTTGTTTACAACCAATCCCTTTCAACAAAGAGAAAGAACAATGTTCTTTTTGGTTCTAAAATTATTATAAATAGAAGCAGCAGCATCTACTGTATAGGGTGAGGGTGTCAACATTAGCAAAGATTGCAGACAGAGTGTTGTGATGCAAGCCCCACCCCTTTTGAATGTCCATGTGACACTTACACATGGACAGAAAGTGTGGGACTTGCATCACCCTTCGTTTGCCAGATTTGACACTCTCACCCTACAGACGCTGAATAGAAAACTACATTGACTGTATCCTAAAATTATGTAAATGAAAGTAGTGTAGACAAAAAATATCATCTGGAAATATCCTGTGTGTTATTTACACTTTTCCAAGTTCCTATATTAATATTACTACTTGTCATTAATAGCAGTAGTAGTGGTAATAATAATGGCAGTGGTACTATTACCAATCCTCTGGTAAGATCTTGTTTCTTGAAAAGTCCTTGATGGCCCATTTCTTCTATCTTCATAGCAACCACATGAGGAATATATTTATTTATAGAATAGTTTTCATAATATAAAATCCAAATAAGAACACATGGGTTGGCAGCTTAAGAGGAATGTTAATACACTGTTACTAACACAATTTTTAAAAAGCTAGGGAATGAAAGGGGACTTTTGTTTGTTTTGTACTTACATTACAACATTTTTGTTAAGCATTGTCATCCCAAGATACTAAAGAGACTGAAGCAGAGTCCAAATACTGAATCCTTCCTTTTGCCTAGGATAGTATTTTTCAATCTTGGCATCTTTAAGATGTGTGGACTTCCAGAATTCCTCAGCTGGCTGGGGAATTCTAGGAGTTGAACTCTACATATCCTATAGTTGCCAAGGTTGAGAAACACTGATTTAGGACCACTAAGACTTACTGAACTAATCAGAGAAACATTATTCCTTTCCACCTTGGCCTACCCCCCAGATATCATTTGAAATAGATTGCTTTGCTATAAATTGCTTCCCTGTCTTCATGACAGAACCTGTCTCAATCTTTAGGGGAGTGTACAGCTACTATATGTGAGCTGCAGAGATCCAGATGACCACTAGATGGCACCAAAGAATCAGGGTTTTCTGTATATTTTCTGGACTTTGTAGCCCCAGAATCAAAGCTGTAAGAGAGAGAGAGCAACAGATTCAGGGCCTCTTTAGACATTTGTGCCAGCAACAACATGATTTAGAATGCAAAGAAGTTTGAGATAATGTTAGGTGATCATTTCAGCTTTATGGAGGAGCGGAACTGAATTCATGGCAAGAGCTAAACCTGACTTAGCTCTTTGTGTTTCCATGTGATTGCTTTATTTTTGTTCTGTTGTTTTGCTTCATAGAACTACTTTGATGGAAAGCTTTCTCCCCAAGGGAAAATGCCCTGGATCGAATACAATCGCAAAAAGGTATCCGGCACAGAATTCATTATTGATTTTTTGGAAGACAAGCTTGGAGTGAATTTAAACAAACACCTTGGCCCACATGAGAGAGCTGTTTCTAGAGCAGTAACAAAAATGGTGGAGGAGCACTTCTACTGGTAAGTTGCCATAGGAATAGGAGTGCTCTTGAAAGAATTAAAGGATGTAGCTGCACTTCATTGCCCTGTGAGACATTTACAATGGACAACATAGTTTTTGCAAGGAGCCCAGGACTGAATGCAGTGTGTGCAGTGGGCCTGCTCCCAACGTGTTTCTCCTTTAGCTACCTCTATGGCAAGACCTGAAGGGAGACTCTGCTCATAGGACCTGAATACACTTAGACTTAATGCACATTTGGGAGTTCTCTGTCATAAGAGTCTCCAACCCTGTGGAAAGTTTTACCCACTTTTAGAAGAAGACCAAGACGTACCCCTCCCCAATTTAACCCTTGTAATGCCACATGGCTATGCCCGGGACTGCCGGCATGCATCAGCAATCTTTTCATAGCCACAGTGGGCAGGGCCACAAGACAAAGTGGGTTAAATGAGGACTAAATGCAGAATAAAACCAAAGTGAAGAGATTAAAATAATTGCTCACTCCTATCTTAAAGGAGATGTGTGCACAAATGTGCATAAACACATGCAAGTATACCTACCACTTTTTAGATTTTGCAATAACTTTCCAAACATTGTGTCCTTTCCTCAGTTCCTATCCATTGAATCTATTTAATGGACTAGGAAGGAATGTAATAGTTATACATAGATTAGGTGGAAGGATAATAAAAGTGGCTGAAAATATATAGTCCCATTTCCTCTCATTAGTTTGCACCCAGCTTATTTTTTTATTAATCCTCATTAAGCTTCCTTCTTGAGATGGAGGATTGATGATAATGAAATAAGCAGAGCACCATAGAGGGATTTCGTGTTCCTAAAGATACTTTGTTGTTATGTGGATTTAATTTTTTCCCCCATCAAAGCATTTCCCAAAATAGGCGAATGCATCAATTAGTTGATGGGGGTAGGAGGAGGAGATGAAAACACAAAACCCTCTGCTAAAGGGAGGTTTGTTTCAAGGATGTGTAGTCCAGGGCACGAGACAATGGATGCACGTTGTCTTAAACAAAACTAGCTGATGCAAGTTGAAGACACAGCTCAACCTGTACCTCTCGCAGTACCTCTGCAGGCAAACCCAGAGGACTGTCTTTCTCCTGGTTTGTTTGAAAGGACGGCCTTTTGCCGAACCCAGTTGGAGCAGTTTTAGAATCTTTTGCTAGGATCCTGAGGCCTCTCATGCCACATGTGTATAAAATGAATAAGGGGAAAAAAGGTGAACAAATCAAATATAAGGAGGAAAACAAGAAGGAATCAAAGTACATACTTACACATGCAATTTGTAAGTTTCTTGTAATGTTAGGGAAAGCACATCAGTAAGGTTCAAATATAACATTTTAACATCTTCAATGCCTTTTCCGAGCCTTCCTGCTCAGCAGTAGAGGCTCAGGACACAGGAGAAAAGGACAGCCCACTTCCTTGTTATCCCCTTTGTACGTGCCTCTATTGATGCGTATTTTCTTCCATTTGAAAGAGACGTTTCTCATCATAAATAATTAAGAGGCTGATCCACAGAAGACCAAGGCATCTGGTTTTTCTCCCTGTGTTTTTTTCTCTTCCCTCCAAGCTCTCAGCAGCTCTAATTTGCATGGGTCAGTGCTGTATCCTGAATGACACCCCCCCCAAGTATTTGCTCATTTTAAAGAAAAGGGAAATAAATGAATTTGTGTCATTTTGTAGCCATCCTGAATGATTTCCGCCAGCACCAGCTAAGCTACTGAGTCCCCAATATCAAGCTTTTCAAGAGTTCTCAGAATCACCTGGTGGAAGTGCCTGCTGTGGGTATTTGGCATTACTTAGGAGAGACAAAGCGTATATTTGGAGAAAGGCCTATTATCAGCCATGGTGGTAACCTGACAGTCTGCATTACCTTCTCCTCACTCCCAGGAAAATTCCCTAATGTCAGCTAACATGGTTCAACTTGATTCAAAAGTTGTGAGGAAAGGGAGAGGTAGCAGATAAGCTCTGTCAGGATATGACCTGACCTGACCTGACCCCACTTACAAAATACTCTGCGCTTTATAAATATTTAATCCTGAATATTGTTGGGAAACTACTGGGCCTGTTTTCAGCACAGTCTCTCCCTCTCCTTTTGAAGCTAGGGTTTATTCTGCTTTCCAAATAGTCCTATGAAATACTCAGGAGAAGGCTGTGTGAGGTCACTGCTGTGAGGGAAAATTAACAATCCCATGCAACATAATTTTCACACTCAAATATTGTTGTATGTTATTATCAATCTACAAAACAATCCTTTGCTTCACAACTTTTTCCTAGTCATTGTTTGCAATTACTGACATCATACAATTGGAAGAGTGAAAAGGGATCAACTCACTTTTGCAATCCAGGACTCTACTTGCATAAGTCCTTCAAAGCTAGAATATTTGTTTGTTTTACATCAAGCAGCTTCATCCTGCTCTTCCACCAAAAAGCACCTAGAAGGCTCACCTATAGTAATAAACACAAGATACCTGATGTCTACAAGCCAACAATCTAAACAAAAGGAGAAAGGGATTGGGAAGAAAGAGAAGATGAATACATGAAACAGGAGCATCAATCCTTAAAGTTGAAATATACAGTTGGAAAGAGAATGTGAGATGTCCACATGTCAAATAGCACTAGATGGCTCCAAAAAATGACCCAGGGCAAACACTGTAATGTGGGCATCTAAAACCCTTTCATGAAAGATACAACCTTAGCTTCTCCAACCTGCTCTCTTCCAGATGTTTTGGACTCTGCCTCTCCAAATGTTCACCATTTTGACTATAGATTATAGAGAAGTCCAAAGTATCAAGAGGACATTAGTTTGGAGGAAGCTGCACTAGCTATTTGAACCATTTCTACTTCTGCATGAAAATCCTCCTCATTTGAGATTTAGACAAACCTCAGTCTTTCGAGAAAATGTTGCTCATTTTATAGAAAGATGGTCTATAACATATTTTATTAAACATTCACCCAGTTGCCCCCCCCTTTTTTGAAAGGGCAACCAATTGTAAGGCATTGTAATCCATTCTTCCCCAACCTGGCATCCTCCATATGAGCTTGACTACCATTCCCATAATATTTGTTTTTTGGATACAAAGATAGGCTAGTGTTGCCTGAAAGCCAGCCAGTGCTGCTGCTTTGAAGTACCTTTTCCATCTAGTACAACAGGGACAACAGCAACAGTGTGGGGAAACTGCTGTCTTGTCATATTCTGTATGTATTTACTGCAGTTATAGCACTGCTGGAAATCAATGTTGTGGTTGTCTTCAATATTTAGGACCTTAGCATATTGCCAGTGGGTGGACAATCTCCATGAGACCCAGAAGATGCTTTCTCTTGGTGGGCCCTTTAGTGACTTACTGAAGTGGATTCTGTGCCACATAACAAAAGGAATTGTGAAGCGGGAAATGTATGGACATGGCATTGGCCGCTTCTCTGAGGAAGAAATATACAAGCTGATGGAGAAAGATATGCGCTCTTTGGCCAGTCTTCTGGGTAATGCATAGTACATTTCATTAAGTTCTGTATGCATAATCTTTCTTCCTTTCTAATTTCTGCTATATGGTTAAACTTCAGATTATTTATTTTTAGCTAGTCACATGACTGTCTTGAGGCTATTGAATTTACCTAGGCCTGCATGCCTAATGACCCATTCAGTTTAACTGTTATGAAGTTAACACAAGTTGTGAACTGCCCTAACTGAAGCACCTCTTAAGTCAGTATTTCTCTCTCATACCTGGCTGGTCAAACGTGTTGGGGTTAATGGGCCACAAACTGCACAGGCTAGATTTTAGCATGCTGTTCTTCAGCTTGGTGCTGGAATTGGCAAGTGCCCTCAGCAGTAACAATTACTTATGATTTATTTAATAATTCTCTGCAAGAAGCAGTTTGACTCACCTACCCAAATAGATTGGAACTATTACAGTAGTGTAATGCATTGAAATGGGATGAATTGAAAGCACAAATGGATTGGAGAGGTGGCTTGAAACTTCTGCCTTAGAACTAAGACTTGGCCACAGTGAGAAGCTGTCAAATTCTATTCCAGAACCCTCTTAATTTCTTGAAAGGGTGTTGAGGGTTCCTGTCTTATCACTTATGGCATATTCACCAATACAATACTGCATAGTTTCAGCCTAACATATTGGGGCATATTGATATTCATTATGAGACATTATAAGAAGCATTCATAGAGCAAGTAACATTTTATTTAATTGTGCAATGTTCAGAAAGATGCATTTTCATTATATTTGCAATATAGTATTGCCTGTCAAATCCAGATCATATCTGTGTAAAGTATCTTTCTGATGAAAGAGACAGGAGATTTGGGGTTACTGGAGACCTGAATCAGAATTCCAAGATTCAGGCATGTTTTCCAGAAAGTACTGTATAACGAGTTATTATAAGTCTCCCTATCATTAAATATAAAAGCCCCTATGAGTCACCTAAATGTTCTGTGCATATTGAAGCACTACTGCAGAAGCTTCACGGCTGAGTTGAGTCGCGTGTGTTGTTCCTTAAAGGTACGTTTCTCCATTTATATCAGCGAGGTCACTGATTTCAATTCCATTCCAAAAGTAGCCCTGAGTGTTTGCTATTCCCATTTATAGGCAAAAACTGTTTGGAGTAATAATTTATAGGCAAAGACTGTCTGAAATCATATTTTATAGGCAAAGACTGTTTGGAGTAAGCCTAGGTCTCCACTGCAAAAATTGCACAAGGAATTTCTCTGTGTAGAAAGTACATAATGTGATACTGAATTGGTCAAGATTCTTATACTACGTAATTCCTTGCCCTTGTTGGGACTGTGAGAAAATGGTATGTTCCTGGTATTGGGCATCATCACCTGTGTTTTGCCTAATCACCTGGAAACAGTGTTGCTCACGACAGGGGACTAGTCTTGGCTAAATAAAATATTGATTAAAATATTGATATGGGAGAAAATTATGATTCTTCCATAACTAAGAGTCATCTGCATTTGAAAAAAAAAATCAAATCATTTTCAATTGTGTGTGTGCATGTATGTGTGTTTGTGTGTATATATATGAGAGCCAATTTGTCTGTGGAAAAACTGTGCATCTTCACAAATACATAAAATTCTTCAGAGCAATAGGCTATAGATACAGCCAAACACATACTAAATGTTCCATATTCTTTTTTTAAGGAGCTAATTAGTGAAAAATCCATGCAGTGACTAGAGATCACAATAACCAGTTCCATTTTACAGAATAATTAGAATGTACATATCAGTTCAAACCATCATATGTGTCTAATGGGTTGACTGCTAAGTTTACCTTTTTTGAAGGAAATAGCAAGCATTAAGCAATATGAGACTGAAATGTAGTGTGTGCATTAAAAAACACAAAGGAGATAAAATATTACAACCCACTTAAATATTTTTTGACATTTACTTATTTTCTAGGTGATAAAAAGTACATAATGGGACCCAGGCTTTCTACTGTAGACGCTACGGTGTTTGGTCATCTGGCTCAGGCAATGTGGACATTGCCAGGAACTAGGCCTGAGCGCCTCATTAAAGGTATGAACACTTTAATCCAGCAAGAAGGAATTATATGATAGTGATAAGAAAAAAATTACAGCTCCTGTTCTGAGTCAGCTTCAAGCCTTGTTCATGCACCAGCCAATAATGTGTGAATAAAGGGATTGGAGTCCACAGTAATCCTCCCCTTCCAGCATCTGCTTGTTAGGAAAGGTCCATTGGATAGGATTTGCCATTGGATAGGATTTGCCAGCTGATTGGAAGTCCTGGGCAATAGATCATGTGGAGGAGCTGATACAATTCACATGTTAAATCTAATTATGGAACTGGGGAAAGCAAATCAGATCTGATGAGCACTATGAAGGATGGTAGGGGGGCATGGTCATAATTTTTCAGCTTTTGATTTTCTCATGTTTCACTCTGCTTAATTTGTCATGGGAGAAACAAAGAACTACTGTATGTAGGTGGTGTTCCTAAATCTTATATTGGTCTTGGAAAACTCTGCCTGACATTGCCACACACTTTCAAACATATAATGGAAGTGTAAGAATGTTCTTTTAAAAATGAAAGCTGGGATTCTCAGGGAGCCATATATGTACTCTGATGCTTTTCAGGAAGAGCTCCCTGGAAATGACATGTGAGAATGTTGATCAAAGTATTGGTGTAGAAACCTACAGAAAGACAGAAAATATGTGAGTGGTGTATCAGACACTTACAGAAGGGAAGAGTTTTCTCTTTCTTGTTTTTGGAAACTTTACCTTTGATTCTGTCAACTGGATGATGAGTTCTGATTTTCTGTACTCTATGGCCAGATGCCCTTGGTCATTCACACACACAGACTCTGTATGTGTGTAACCCATACCCATACATGCACATCTGCACATACGTAGTTGGCCAACATGGAAATAAAAGGATATCAAACAGAGGTGTGTACAAGGCAGATTGAATTATATGCTACATATAGTTTTTAGTATAGTAAATACTCCCCACTTTCTAGTAGCTCACCATAATTTGGGGGCTCAGAGAGAGTAACAACTGCTCCAGCTTCTCCTAGCGTTAGTTATGAAAGCTAAAATGGAGGGTTGCCTTCTCTCCTCTGTATCTAGGAATAAATTGAACTTCTGCAAGCAGGATAGTAAGGTAAATAAAAGCTCTGCTCTGCTCAGCTTAAAACCAACCAGTTTTTTTGGCAAAATGCCTTTTTATCAGTGAGCAATGAACAATGCTAACAGTTTCTGACAGTTTTCCTACTTCCTTTCACTCTGAGACACCAATCTGCCTATAACTTTCAAAGGGACAATCTGCACTTGTTCCATACATTGTGACAGTGTATGTGGAATTGAAGCCTATCTAAGCATGCCAAGTTCCATTTCTGTTAAAATGGAAGTTGCCTTTGTGCATAGGGCTAAAGCTCCGTTCTGACAGATGAGGAGAAATATGAGAACAGGGAGGGTGAATGCTCTAAGCCTGGAAAGTGAGGTCAACACTTAAGGAAGGGAAAGGGCCAGGAGTGGTGCAATGGAATGGGTATGAACTGTCACCATGACAGAATATTGTAAACGCTGGGTCCTGCAGTGACATTGAGGGTCTGGAATTAGAGCAACTGAAGTTTACCAGCAAAGGACACAAAGGATGTTGTGAGACTGTAGGGAAGAGGCAAGCCCAGTGGTTTAGCTGCTGAAGTACAGTACCTTACAGAGGCTCAATAATACATTTAGAAACTAGCTCTTTGGTGATAATACTATAATTTAAATTATTATCTGTGATAACCTGATGGCTTTCTCCAGGGATTAAAGCTGCTTCAAGATGGACACTTCCACCATAATTTTAACTAGATCACTTTAGGTAATATTTTGTTTGCTTTAGCTAGCATAGTGCTTTGGTGGTTAGGAAAATATATATCCAGAGTTCCTGTGATTTGCATCATATGAGAGTAACTTCTATTAATACAGTAAGAGGATGCATAGGTTATGAACTCTGGTTATAGTGACGGTATAGTATTAGTTTGCACATCACCACCTGGAAATTTCCTGCTGTCTCCAAGCTTTTTGCTTTAACAGCCTTCCAAAGCACCCTAGATAATTTAGACCACTTTCTCCAGATGGATGCCATCCAAATGTGTTTATCTGGTCAGTGCTAATGGAGTTTCCTGGGACTTGTAATTCAACAAATCTAAATGCAACAGTGTTGGGGAAAGCTAATTTAGAAAAAATGCTAGGATGATCCTCACAAATAATGTATGGATGCCAACTTGACAGGGCTTCTCATTAACCTGTCCCATGGGCCATGAATTCACTGGTTGATAGGATGGAGTGTTGCACAAGGATAAGTATTTGTTCAAGGAAGTGTGACACTATGGAAGACAAGCAGCAGCGCTGCTTTCAATTAGTTCTGATCTTGCAGTCCATTGGGTGCTCAGTTCATTTATTTGTTCTGAAAAGTTATGCCCCATTTTTTCACTAAAAAATTGACAGCTGCCTTTGACAGTCATAGCACAAATGTTTGCAACAGATCTGAAGCGTGTTGCACAGACTGTGCATTAAATGCACTTTACTATTGCTCTAAAGTGAACCTGAGTCACACAGATTTGGTATGAGGCAAACGTAACTTAACTCAACTCTTGAAGACTGTGTGTGATGGGCATCCGTCCTTTACCCTGTTCCATAAAAAGGTGCATATGTTTGTAATTTGTATCTATCTGTCCACTTTTTCTTATATGTATTCTATTGGATATTTTTAGCAAAGGACTTCAACATAGCCCTTTTCATAAATACCACAATTTCATGTAATTTGTCATTTAAAGGCCTATAATCTAGAATAGGAACATGGAAGTCATAAATGACTTGTCCAATACTGTGTAAACAAACCGGCTGGGTGTCACACCTCCAAGAGGCATTGGATAAGGCCCAGGAGCTTCAGTATGTCCAGCAGAAATCTGCTGCTGAGCTACAGCTGTTTGCTTCATCTTGGAAACCTGGAGGAACATTTTATAGAGAGTAGAAAAAGAAACTTGAGACGATTAAAGAACTGCTATAAATAAACTGCTTGTGATCTAGAAGGCTGAGTAACAAGTTTACCAACATAAATAAGTCTGAGCTTGGGACATTGGTGTATAAGGTCCATCTTGTCTTTTTCACTGGCATATCTGGCATCTAGACAATATCCAGCTAAAATCTATAAGGGTTGAAATCTGAGAAAGCTATCCAGGTCCTAACACAATACATAATATCAGTCATGGACTTGGATAAAGGGGAAAAAACAAAAAACAGAAAACAAAAAAAACAAACACCTTAATATAGGTGAGGCAAAGGTGCAGCCATTTTGGAGAGAAAGAAATATAAAACTAATACATAAATAAAATACTTTCTCCAGTTTCTTTCAACTGATAGCGCTTGATCTGGCTTGCTGCCCATCACTAGGCTTTGCTTTCTTGTGAAGATTAGATGTCTCCACGAAAAACTTTTTCCTATGTAGAATAACACAGAAAGGACTCCCTCAGGCCGAGCTCCAATCCTGGTGACCCCGGAGACAACCATAGGGAAGTTTTAAAACAAGCTTTACTCTTGTTTTCTCCTGGGATTTTATCATCACTGCCCAGTGTAGCCCTGACTCTGGAATTTTCTGCTGGTCTCCCATTCGAGTGCTTTGCAAAGAAAATCTTCAAATCACCCACGGACAGCTAGGTGCTGGAGAAGACATTAATTTATGAGCTAAACTCATCAAGTCACCTTAGCACCAAAGAGGAGGTGAGAGAAAAGAAAATTTGCAGCCTTGTTTAATTCTGCACATAACAAACCAGAACCCCCCCTCACTGGTCCTATAGTCAACTTCACTGTATTTCCCCACCAAAGTCCCAACATACCAAGAGACTAAATCACCCACACTAGAGGACTGTGCAGAATCCTCATACTCCACTCCCCACCCTCCACTCCTGAAGATGGGCTTTACTATATTGGATTAGCTTACAGGACTGTCATTATTCACAATCTCTCACTCACCAGCCTGCTTTTTGCAACAAGAATATTCCAGCGATGGATTTTCTCAACATGCATTGCCTGGATAACTGTTTGCATGTTTAGAAGTTTCAAAAAAAGCAATTGACTTTTTTTTTAAGGGTCTGAGCTCAAAAGATGAATCCCTGTCTTTGACTCAGCTAGACGCATTACTGAGTTATCACAGCCCTGGATCTCTGAATTGTTTTGCAGGAAGGAGCAATTTCTTTCCACTAGGAAGATTAAAACCCTTCTTTAGACCAGCTCTGTGTGAATCATTGCTAGGACTGTTCATTCAGTAGCTAAAGACCCTGAAGATCAGGCACAGGCTTAGAAAACAACCAGAAGATTGACTACATGTTTTCTTTTATATTTTCCACAGGTTAGCTCTTGATAAAAATGAAAGCTGGAAATCTGGGATTTATGGTTTATTGGGAGTGGGAGGGAAGTGCCCATTGCCCCCCACCCTGGAGAGGCCCATATTCCATTTTTTTGTCCTGGGCAAAAACACATTAGCATAAAACTAAAGCTGTAATTTTGGGTTCATAGCAATGAGACAGTTCATGCTGTAACAAACAGTGCATAAATGATGTTCATATGCAAAGCATCCTGCTGTTTTGAGAGAAATTTCTGTAGTCATGCCTCTCCTCTTCTTTCCTTTCCTTTCTACACCTTTCTTCTCTCATGTACTTGGAGATTCTGGGGAGGCATGGAGGATGGAGCATCGCTCGCTCTGATGGAATTTTCAAGCAATGCTGCCATCTGGCGGTTTATTTGTTACCAATTGACTCTATTACACGTTTCTACTCTGTTTCTAAATGGAGAATGTAAAAATTGCATCAGAGAGACTGCTCTGTTGTGGGTTGTTAGATTTTGGGTTGTGTCATACTACCCCTTGTGCTATTTCTTGCAAAACTCTTGTTTATTTAGATTAAATCCCATCTAAATGAAGGTGAGTATTGCGACAAATAGCATAGAGATTGGATTTTTTTTTTTTTAAAAAAAAGCTACACTATAGTGTTCTCCTAATATGGACTTAGTGGAACTTTGAGCTTTATGCAAGGCAATGAAATGGCTATAATGTATTAACAGAAACAGAGCTGAAACTTGGAAAAAGAACACTTTTCAGGATAGTATATAAAATTGCCAGTCTTCCTCTCAAATAAATAATCACAATCTGTTGGTAAATAGAAATGAAAAATCAGAGGTCAGATTTCTTTTTGGGGGGCCTTGAAACAGCGAAATAATAGCCAGTAAAATTCAATTGCATTTCTTTGCTATAGGAACCACTCTAACATTTCTTTAGCAGAGGATAGATGCAAGGAGGTTTGTTGAGGTTTAATTCCTGCCCAAATCCCAGTAGGTACAGTTTATGCACCTATTCTGTTCGACACACATAAGCTGCATTTCAGGAACAAACACTCAAAAGCAGAAACCAGACTATGGACAGGTCTGAGCACACTGGGAAATATTCAGGTACAGAGTGAAGCTTCCAGGGAAGAAATGGCAATGGCTCTGCTAAAAGCAGAGTCGACGACCATGGCAGAATAAAGAGACAGCAAATAGAATGGCTCTTTGTAATTCCTCTCTGGACAAGGAGAGGACTTGAGATCACCCATAAGTGCTCTAGGCAGTTGCTCCTTATGGGGAGACCACAAGATAGCAGTCTCCAGCAGGTATAGAGCTCTGAGAGACAAGGGAATAGTCATCTTTCTCAAACCACAGTTGGCGCCTTTGAAAGGACACTAAGTTTCCATACTTCCTTTTCCAATCACTTTCAGAAATTGCTTGTTAACTGCTTTTCAGCTATTAGGAACCTTTGGATCAACATGTTTTACATGTTTTACAGCACTGGGTGAGTTTCCTTCAATCCTTAATGAAATAAGTTTTAAATTCAAATTTAAGAACTTAAATTTTGTTTTTGAATAAAATAGCAGAAGGGTGATAAAAACTTTGATTT